GCCTTTACCAAATTCACACAACTTAAAAAGAAAAAAATCATAGCACATTTGTGTATAAAAGTAGATAAATAAGTGCTTCCCTCTCCCTTTACAATTACAGTAGCAACAACTTCTCCTAAGAGGATAAGTTCCAAGACCCTGGGTAGATGCCTGAAACTGCAGAGCACCGAACCCTGTTTAGTATGTTCAAGCTTTTTCATCAGATAACCAGGACAGCTACTAAGCGACTAACAGCCAGACAGCACATACAGCCTGGATACACCGGACCAAAGGCCTGTCCAAAGCCCCAATTCTAGTTCTAAATTTCTCTCATATCTCCCTTTTCATTTCCAACCCTTCTGTCGTTTTGTCACTCCTTAGTGTTGTGGACCGAAATGTTTGTTTCCCCTCAAAATGTGTATGTTGAAGCTATGCCGTAGTGTGGCTATATTTGGAGATGAGGCCTCTAAGGAAATCATTAAGATTAAATGAGGATGAGTCCCAGAACCAACAGAATTAGTGTGATTATAAGAAGGGACATCAAAGAGTCATCTCTCTCTCTCTCCCCCATGTCTATGAACCAGGAAGCCCATGTGAGCACTGAGAGAAGAGGCAACCCAAGGCGACAGCCCTCCCCGGACATCACCCTGCAGCACCCTGAGCTCAGGCTTCCAGTCTCCAGGACTGTGAGAAAATAAATGTCTGTTGTTTAAACCGCCCGGTCTGTGGTGTTCTGTTATGCAGCCCCAATCAGGCTACTACACTTAGTTCAGACCTTTATAATTTACCCAGACCTCTTTTTTTCTTTTTCTTTTTCTTTCTCCTCTTTCCTTATAGCTGACCAATACTTTATTTATTTATTTTTAAACAGCCTTAGGAGGTATAATTGAGATACAAAAAATACACATATATATAATCTTTGCTTCATTTCCATCTAACCTTTACTGAAGCCAGAGATTTTTCTTTTCTCCTTTTTTTTTTTTTGAGACAGAACCTCAAGCTGTCCCCCTGGGTAGAGTGCCATGGCATCACAGCTTACAGCAACCTCCAACTCCCGGGCTCAAGCAAGTCTCCTGCCGCAGCCTCCAAGGTAGCTGGGACTACGGGCACCTGCCACAACACCCAGCTATTTTTGGGTTGCAGCCATCATTGTTGTTTTGGCGGCCCAGGTTGGATTCAAACCTGCCACCTTAGGTGTATGTGGCTGGCACCTTAGCCAGTTGAGCCACAGGCGCTGAGCTGGCAACCTCCAACTCTTGAGCTGAAGCTATCCTCTTGCCTCAGCCTCCTCAGCCTCAGAGGTGCTTGCCTTAATGCCCAGTTAGTTTTTCTATTTTTAATACAGACGTGATCTTGCTCTTGCTCTTGCTCAGGCTGGTCTCAAACTCCTGAGCTCGAGGATTCTACCTGCCTCAGTCTTCCAAAGTGGTAGGATTACAAGTGTGAGCCACAGCACCCAGCCCAGAAATTTTTCTAAAATGTAAATCTGAGTTGTCAAACACTTTTATGGTTCCCCAGTGCCTAAGATAGTGGTCTCCAAACTTATATCTCTTAAATAAAAAAAATTTAGGTACAGCATGCACAAAATACCTATATTTACTTAGATTATATAGAAGTACACAAAAGATGTTCATATAAAAATGAACTTTACCTAACAAATGCAATCAGCATAACATGGTTTCTTGTACCCTCAATGAATCCCCAACAATAAAAAATTTAAAAATATATATAAAGATGAAATAAACAATATTTAAAAGTTTAAATTTTAATGTATTTATGAATAGCATAGAAAATTTTATTTTGGCTACATAAAAACACATATCCAGATAAAAACCCTTTGCTAATTTTTTTTTCCAGCAAAAGCAATGTGATTGACTATGCCAGGTCTAAATTAGATTGTCATTGATTTTACCTCGAAACATGGCTGACAATGAACTTGGGCTGGGAGTCAGAGAAACATCAGTTCAGCCATTTTCTTATGCTGACTTGGGTTCACTGTAATTAGTACAGTCTTCAATCAGAGGTTTCTTTACAGGACTCTTTAAAAACCACATATCCATTGTGAGGTTTCATTTAGTTAAAACTAGATAGTGTCATCAATAAATCCAGTTAACCAGGCACAGGAAAACTAGGAAAGCTCAAAATAGGCTGAAAATGAACAAAGAAGTGAGAGGGTCACCAACAATAACCTCTTTCCAATTTTTAGAAAGGCAGAATGAGCCGGGCACAGTGGCTCATATCCGTAATCCTACCACTCTGGGAGACCAAGGCAGGTGGATTGCTTGAGCTCAGGAGTTCCAGACAAGCCTGAGCAAGAGCAAGGCCCCATCTCTACTAAAAATAAAAAAAACCTAGCCAGGTGTGACACAAGCCTGTAGTCCCAGCTACTTGGAAGACTAAGGCAGGAAGATCGCTTGGCAAGAGACTGAGGTTGCTGTGAGCTATGATGATGCTATAGCAGTGTACCCAGGACTACAGAGTGAGACTCTGTCTCAAAAAAAAAAAAAAAAAGGCAGAATCCCTTTTCCTACCTCAAGATTTTTTGAATGTAAGGTAAGTGACAATCCGATATGGGGCTCACATGAAGACACCTGTGTCAATCTACATAGTAGCTATTAGTAAAAGTTATTTTATATTCATAGATTTAAAGTAAGACCTAATATCTTCTTTAGTCCCCTAAAGAATCATCAGGCTTTTCCCTGCTGGTCGATGGCAAGAAGCTTCTGTTTACTGTACAAGGTCTCCCTGACCCCGAGTCAGCCTCTCCAGCACCTGCTCCCTGCTCTTTCAGAGCCTGATCCAGTTTCACTGTGCTGCTCACCATGCCCCAAATATCCCCTCCTGTGCGTTGACTGCAAGGATGATGTCAGATGACACCAGAGAAAGCACCTGCTGCAGAAGAGGTGCTTTAAATAAATGCTTATTGATTCCTCTCCCCCCCCCCCCACCATGCAGTTACACTAAATCAGAGGCTCTACAATGTAAGGCTGCCTCAAAACTGCTGGAAAACTCCTCATAGCATAGATTGTTAGCCCCGGTCCCCGAGTTTCTGATTCAATAGGTCTGAAGTGGGCCTGATAATTTGCATTTCTAACAATTTCCGAGATGACACCGATGCTATTGGTCTAGAGACCACATTTTGAAACCAATGAACTAGATGACTGTACAGCATCTCCCGTTTCCAATGACTTTTGATTCCTCATACCTTTAATAGAGAGTAAATGAACACAAGAACTTTAATCTCCACGTAAATCAATATTTAACATTATCATAAATAGAAATATAGGCTCTATAATATCTCAGATTCACAGTGTAGAGAAAAGAGCATATTTATTTAGAATCAGAGGATGAGAGTTCAAATCCCACTTTATGGCAGTGTGGTTGAGCTAAGTTAATTCATTTTTTGAGTCTGATTTTTTTCTTCTGTTAAACAGGAGTGTATTAAAATAATATCTACCTCATAGTGTTAATTTTGAGATGAATTAAAATATGGGAAACATGTAAAATATGTAAAAGGAAAAGTACTGTATTCATACTGTCCCAATAAGATATGCACATACATAATTCATTACATTTTGAATATTTTAAATCACAAATTTTCAAAATTTCCAATCCTGATACTAATTCATTACTGAAAAGCATACAATCCCCTTGTTGCTTTATCATCTAAAATATGTACCTATTTTATTAGTGCCAGTGGTTAATACCAAGAATAGAAGGTGATGGCCACCTGCCAACATGGTCCCTAATGATCCCCAAAGATTATGGTCCCCAATGATCCTCTTTTTTTTCTTTAAGACAGAGTCTCATTCTGTTGTCCAGGCTAGAGTGCCATGGTGTCAGCCTAGCTCACAGCAACCTCAAACTCCTGGGTTCAAGTGATCCTCCTGCCTCAGCCTCCAGAGTAACTGGGACTGCAGGCACCTGTCACAATGCCTGGCTAATTTTTTTCTATTTTTAGTAGAGATGGGGTCTTGCTCTTGCTCAGGCTGGTCTCAAACTCCTGAGCTCACGGTTACTCCCACTCTCCCCTCCCAGAGTGCTAGGATTACAGGTGTCAGCCACCACGCCCAGTCCCCAGCAATCCTTCTCTCCCACTGTTCACACTTTTGTGTACTTTCCTCCCACACTGGATCAGTGACCGATAGAATACTCTAAGGCTAAGTCATAAGAGACATTGTCATTTTCCACTTTGGTTTTTTAAATATCTCACTCTGGAAAAAGCCAGCTGCTATGCAAAAAAAGACACTGTAAAAGGGCCAAATGGGGAGGAAATAAGGCCTCCTGCCAACAGCTAGTACCAGACATGTGGATAGTTAAGCCACCTTAAAAGTAGATCCTCCAGCCCCAGTCTTTTGAATGAAAGCAATCCCAGCCAACACTTACTTTCGTATTTCACGAAAGACCCCAAGCCACTCCTAATTTTTTCACCTATGGAAACTGTAAGATAATGAATTTTTGTTATTTCATACCACCAAGTTTTGAAGTGATCTGTTAGGCAACAATAAATAACTGATATAGTAGCTACATTTATTGTGCATTTACTATGCTCCAGGAACTAGCTAAGCACCCAATAGCCTTAAGATATAGATGCTATTGTAATCCCTGAAGAAGAAAGAGTGGCCCAGAGAGATTCAGGAATTGTTAAGTTCCATGGCTAGTAGGTGGTAGAAGTAGAATTTGAACCTATGTCTCTAATTCCAAAGCCCAGTTTCTTGGTCACTCATTTTTTCAAGCCTGGATAAAGCATCTTGTACAGTTAAACAGTAGAAGCAATTGAACCTCTAGAGCAGTGGTTCTCAACCTGTGGGTCAAGACCCACAGGAACTGTATTAAAGGGTCATGGCATTAGGAAGGTTGAGAACCACTGCTCTAGAGGATGGTAAACTTATATAAAGCTAGCAGGGGGCAGCCCAGGGGCCAGACCCGTAACAGCAGTAATGCCTGATGTTGTAAGGCCCAGAGGTTGTAAGCTGGTTCCACTTCCCAGGACAATCTTGCCCAACATGCCCAGGACTCACCCAGATCTGTAGCTTCACGCGCTTCTCATGGCGGTAGACTGTCTTCACCTTGAAGTCGATGCCCACCGTGCTGACGAAGGCTGGGGTGAAGGTGTCGTCAGCATAGCGGAAGAGGAAGGAGGTCTTGCCAACACTGCTGTTACCGATGATAAGCAGTTTAAACATGTAGTCAAAATTCTGGTCAGAAGCATCTTTGATTCCAGTTTTACCATCAGTCACTGAAGCCATCTACGAGAGAGGCCCATGGTCACTCAAGAACACACCTCCACCATAACCTGAGCCACCCATCTCCTAATGATCACCCCGCCATTCGCACACTCCAGCATCACTGAGGAAATGCACACTACTCACAGTCATCCCATCACTGCACCTGCCCCAAATATTGTCTCAGCATCAGGGCGGAACCCAGCTCCTTCCATTCATTCCCTTGGCAAATATTTACTGAGCACGTTGCCCTGGGGCAAGCCCTGTGCTGGGCAGGGGGAATACAGATAAGAATGAGACATGGTCTCTGACCTCTGGGTGGCCACAAACTAGAATAAAAGAGCAGACAAACACAAAGTAACAAAGCAGTGGTGATAAGACAGAGGGAAGTCCGGGCTGAGGATGTCAACAGGAAGCATCTAACCCAACCAGGAGGGAGGCATAGTGGTCAAAGAGAGTCTCTTGTGGGAGGCAGCTCCAGGGCTGAGTTTTCTTCTTTGGGGGGAAAATCCAAGAACAGTAAACATATGAACACGCCAGGAAGGCTCAGTACAGACCTATGGTTCATTCCCCTGCTTTATAAACTTTCATGGCTCCAAAGCTCTAAAAGATCAAGTCCAAACTGTTCGACTTGACAAAGAACCCACTAACCAATGAACCAACTCTCTAAGCTTTATCTTTTCCTAGCTAACCCTTCTTGCCATCAACCTGTGCCACCCTCATATCAAATTACACACTCTCCTCCAAATAGGCCCCTTTATTCTCGTCTTTGTCACTTTTTACAGGTATTCCTCCTGCCTAGAATGCTCTTTTCCTCTTAACAAACTCCAATTCATCCTTGAAGAGCCAGATCAAGTGTCACCTTCCCTGTGCATGGCAGAGGCGGGCACTCCAGCTCCTGTGCTCCCAGAACATTCTAATGGCCCTTGTATCATTCAAGAACTGTTAGACTGAGCATCTGGGCCTTAATGTACTTCATTCCTGTATGCCTGGCCTCTAGCACAAGTCATAGCACATAATAGACTCAGCAAATGTGTGCTGAATTAGTAAAAGTCACTTTATCACTCTAGACCCCAATCTCCTCATCTGGAAAATGAGGAGATTTTCTGCTTTTCTCCCAGGGACACCACAACACTCAAATGAGATCACAGTGACTGAATCCTTTTTAAACTGGTGAATTCCACACAGGTGTGAACATAGTCCTTATTATTCTAAATCCTTCAAAACATAGATCCAGTATTTATTTTTTCATGCACTCATTCATTCATCCCACAAATATTTATTATGTGCCAGTTCTTCCTCCGATCCCAGCCCTCTCAGTCCTGCCACCATCCTCTCCTTTCCTGGAACACGTTGGCTCTGAACCTCATAACCCACTCCGCACCTGGCCTTATTTGAGTCTTCCATTGCTCCTCCAATTGCTGGAAGCCTCAGGTCCCTTTCTTCTGCACCTGAAGTTTCATTTTGTGCTCAGCGCTGGGTACTCAGTTGGCTGAGTGAGGGATTGGAGGAGGGTGGGAGGACAGCCCTAATGTGAGCGAATGTCTGGGTTTTCATTCTCTTTAGGAACTCCTGTTCTTTTTTCTCCCAAAGGAAAAGAAAGAGGATGAGGCTGGTGGATATGGCTCTTTGGGCCTTGCAGGTGAGCTAGGAGGACAAGGAACTGATGAACGTGGAAGGCTGAAAGCTCTCTTAAAGCAAGGTCAGACAGATTTGTAGGATTATTGGCATTACCAGCTTTTTCTTTTTTTTCCAGAGTCAGGGTCTCACTCTGTCACCCAGGCTAGCGTGCAGTGGTGCAATTACAGCTCACTGCAACCTTGAACTCCTGGGCTCAAATGATCCTCCCACCTCAGCCTCCCAAGCCACTGTGCCCAGCCTAGTAGCCATGTAGTAAAACTTTGAACATGTAGCTTGTGGTCTCTGTTCTTCCTTCTCTCTGCTCCCAACTCTCAAGACTTTATCTGATACTTTATCAGCTCCATCTCTGTATCAATCTACCTCATGACAAGGCTCTCTAGGCCAGGGTGGAACATGCCCGGGACACTTGGAGACTGAGGTGTGGCATCTACATGCAGGAAGAATGTAAGGTTGGAGGGGAGGGTGCCACTGCCGGCTGAAACTCTTTCATAGCCTTAAGTTTTCAGCTTTTCATGCTACAAGATGCAAAGCCTGTTGTAAGAACTGGTGATTCAAAGGAACTGTGCTTTTTCTACCTAATACAAAGGGAGCAACCATAACCCCCTCACACCAGTCTCCACTCTGTTGCCAGTCATCTTTCTTAGTTTATAAGAGAAAACTTTTACTATGAAAGTATATACTCATTATTAAAAATTTGAAAAGTGTAAAAAATAAAATTTAAAATTACCTGAGATCCCACCCACTCAGAAACGATTGCTGCTGGCTCGGCGCCTGTGGCTCAAGCGGCTAAGGCGCCAGCCACATACACCTAAGGTGGGGGGTTCGAATCCGCTGCCTGGGCCCGCCAAACAACAATGATGGCTGCAACCAAAAAATGGCCAGGC